ACACATAGGGCTATGTATAGTGTATCAGTAGGCGTGGCGAATAATTCTAAGAACTATTCATTCAGCAGTTACAGTTTCAAAATTGAAGACATTACACAGCTTTTCGCATTCCCTACACGGACGTCTAGGAACCGCGGTGTTTACAGTGTAGTTCTTTTCCAATTTCCTTCCCATAATTAACGTGAGTATTTTATCTGTGTCATGTAATTTGTGTTCATTCCATCAAGGATAACTTTCTTTTAGCTGGCATTCCTTTGTTCACTCAAGCATCAATGAGAAAACTAGGAAATGAAATACCAAAATAATTTACCATCGACTGGTTTTAATCTAAGTAGAACTATGCTTTATAATATAAAGATTTTGACCATAATTAAAATAAACACTACTTAGGTATCACGTAGCGATTGTTACGGAGGAGGGCCCTGGCATCCGTCCGTCACAATGTGACGATGGAGTGGGCTTCGTAGGACGAAATCCACATAGCCTGGGATTATTATACTTGAAGGATTATAAGCTGGTTCCCAACAGCAAATCGCCTCTCTCCACGCCAGAGTGGGCTTCGTAGGACGAAATCCACATAGCCTGGGATTATTATACTTGAAGGATTATAAGCTGGTTCCCAACAGCAAATCGCCTCTCTCCACGCCGCTGGGTAACCCAAGGGAACATCATTGGATGATACAGCTTGGCACCAGTGACGTCGCAGGAGTTGTCGGAATGTTTCATTGTATCAATGTTATCCGCCTTTCGGGACTCCATCTCCGGGTTTGATTTCAGAGTTGCCTTCTCTTAGATGAGTTGCCGTCCAAGGTTAACGAGTCCCATCTACCCGGGGTGCCAAATGTGGTGTTTTTTGCTCTAGCTGGAATTGAACTCCAGACCACCAACTTGAGATTTGCTCAGTTTAGACCACTCGGCCACCCAGGAGGAGTGCCCAGGTCCTGACTTTTCTATTTAAAAAAAACAATTTTGACGTAGAAGTGGTCAGTACATGCCGCATCTCTCTTTGATTTTTGTTGGGGATTTCTGGGTGTCAGGACAGATAAATGCAAAACTCTGACGTGAAGTAATTCAAATAAATAATCCTTGTGATTAGATGATAATGTAGTATATTTATTTTACTAATACAAACAGTTCTTCTGTAATTCTCATTAGCTCGATCACTACCTGTTTACTATATCAATGTTTCTCTAGCTACAATTCACGTCTCCTACTGCAAAATAAATGTTTTAACTCGAGTGTCTCAATTCGTCTAAATGCTTCTCGTCTGAATATTCTCAACCGGCAACTCGTATCAACTCAACTGATTTCCTATCTATCACAATGTACTCAAACATCTTCCTTCTATTTACTTCTCTAACTCTTCAACCTATAAACCTATCCCAGATTGCCCCCCCCCTTTTTATCCCTGCCAATTTAGAACTTCCATCGTTAGCCCCTAAATGTGCATACGTTTACTGGAAAGAGCGAATATCATATTATTAAAATATAGTAATAATAAATACAAAATGTCCTCTATAACGAGGTGCGAGAATCTATGAACTTTGACCCCATCCCATCATTTCCCAAAACAACAGCAATTTTCGGCTGACCTATAAGTTACCTGAACAACAATGGCGTACTTTCCTCACACCGCTCCAGCCATATGTGATACTAGGGCACCACGAGAAAAGGGGGCCTCACAAATATAGACAGAAACTAGCGATACTTTTTTAACACTAGAGCTATCCTAAGGGCCGATGACCAATGGCTGCTTCTGTGACTGAAACGGTAAACAGCATTTACCAAAAATAATAATAACGCCAATCATAAAATCCGGACTACTCTCAAAAACTATTTTTATTTTCCTCATATTGAGTTGTAAAAAAATAATGATAATGCTATGTGTTTAAACTTCATAACATTTATAGTCCTACAACAAAAGCAACATCAAACGCTTTCAATTCCTTGGTTTAGAAAAACGAAAATTATCAAAACCGAAATAAAAGAAGACTATGAATATTATGTCGACGCCGGCAAAGCTGACTCATTTCTTCATTCGAGTTTGAGCCTAGGCGAGTTCATCGGTCAGCTTGATCCACGTCACTTTCCAAATATGAAAATACTGGCATAGGCAATCCTTCTTACCAGTCAAAACCACCGGCAAAGAACTGATTCAGTAAATGTATGAAATGGTGGACTACTAGCTAATTCTAAAATTTAGCAAAAACAATATTATCCAATGATGGTGATAGACCAAAGTTGCATTTAAACTTAAATGCAACAGACAAATTTCTAAACAATACATTTTATGCGATCATTGCTCACTAAAAACTGAGATGAGAAAAATTGTAGATTTATCTTAAGTAATAGCTGTGAGATTGTCCATTCTGAAATATTACATTCTTTTAATGGTGTGTTGAAATGACTTTGATTATAGGGGATGCTGGGACAACCTGTCACACCTGCTAGTGTCTAGCAGTATTTTGTTATATCGATTTAACACACAAAGGGACATAAGACATAATTCCTTTACTCATGTATGCCTCAACTATCAAATACTCCACAACACCATTCAGTCAAATGGGAACCTGATACGCATAAGCGCTATTCGGACCTGGGTTCCATTAGACTAAATGCAATTTGGATGTCATTTGTGGTAGTTTATTTTAGTTGAACTGAAGAATTAGGTTTAATAACATATGTTCCATTTAATTATCTTTCATTCGATACCCAAATGTTATCTTACAAACCCAACAATAATATTTTAAATATTTTTTTTAAATAAACCCAACCTCTCACTTCTGAAATCGATTCCGAATAGCCGCAGACTTTTTAAAACGTAGAAAAGACCTATTTGCCTAACCCTATTTGGAAAGTGACCAAGCTAACAGGATCTGAATTTGCCTCACTCGTAAACCCTAAGGGAATTTGAATTGGGATTCTTTGAGACTGTGTCCGATTGCTACGATTTACACAACTATGTTTGTGCATTGACCACTAAAGGACTTTTAAAAACTTTTCTCAAAACAGCAATCTTTGCCATGTTTTAATCATGATATGCTATAAGATAAAAAAAAAATTAGTCCGATTTTAAAACGATTCTTACCATTGTAATCAGCATACAAATGTAAAGAAAAAGGGTAAAAATCAGATTTAGACTACTCTGTGAGATTCGATAGATGTGAGAATGGGGAAAACGCGTGGGCCGCATGAACACAAAACTTTGCTGCGATGTAGCGGGCAGTAAAATATCGTCTTGCGGGCCGCAAACGGCCCACAGGCCGCGAGTTTGAGACCCCCCCCCTCTGGGTTAGATCATTCAATAATAAGATCACTTCAAAGTGGAAGTGGATTCTCGGGTCCTATCCTTCGTGGCTTCTCAGGACTCAGCGCGTCTCAGGGGCGTTCACGTAAGGGGACGAAATAGCAATGCGATACAATGGGATTACTTCTTTGTCGAAATGAATTCTCCAATTCTTTACTTCGTGGCTTTTCGGGGCTCAGCGCTTCTCAGGGCGTTCCACAAAAGTGGTTGATACCAGTCACAACTGTACCTTCTGGGATACCTCTTCCCCAGTGCTTCTAAATTTTGCAACGGCCTTTATAGTGATTCTATTCTAATTGTTTATTATTATGGCTAATCACTACCATGTGATACCTGAGTCCAATGAATTTAATATTCCGATGCGTGATAATATTTCAATTGGATAATCGCTCCCCCGAGGAGAGATGGGGGTGGAGGGGAGGAGGGTTTCTACTGCATGGTTAAGTTAAATGGTCAACATATCCATCAGTTCAATGGCTTTCCACGTGGAGTGACGGCATTCAGGGGAAATAACTCATTCTGAACTCAAAATTAGGGGGGGGGGGGTTGGTGTAGGTAGGTCATTTTTAGCACATTAAATTTTTAGGGTCAGCTCCTTTTGATTACAAATGATAAATGGTCAACATATCCATCAGTTCAATGGCTTTCCACGTGGAGTGACGGCATTCAGGGGAAATAACTCATTCTGAACTCAAAATTAGGGGGGGGGGGGTTTGTCTAAGTAGGTCATCTTTAGCACATTTAATTTTTAAGGTCAGCTCCTTTTCGTCACAAATGGACAGAGCCATTGGTCTTTTATGGCTCCGGCCAGCACTTTTCAGGGATGCCGCATCTGCTGGGCATCGCCGTAAATCAGGCTTGTTCACAACCCATCCACTCGTTAGTCAGGGCACTCGGCTTGTAAGTGAACCATTGTCTCCGGCGCCTGTGCGCAGTGACTATATCTTTGGTCCCGCGGCCGAAGCAATCTGTCAAAATAGCTTCAAGTAGGGCCATGATTTGTTCTAATCTTTGACAATATAATATTAAAGAGAAAACCTGTTGTAAATAAATAATGTTAATAAATGTACCTTTTCTATTTTATCTTCAGCGAGAGTTTTTTTGTTTTTTTTTTATTTCAATAAAGCACATTTTACTATTCGTAGTCAAAATACCTCCTTTGACTTATAGACACCAAAATTTTTAAGTGCTTAGGGGACCCAAGAGTGTTTATCAAGTCTTTATAAATATATATATTTATATACATATATCCAGGATAAGGTACATAAATGCACATCAAATGGATAAGACTGTTGACCCCTAAATTATTTGTCTTTCATTTTTGATAATAGTGTGTTAATTCCCTTTAACTTCTTAGCTGTGTACTTTTAATTCAAGGGGATCAAATCAAATACTCAGCTTTACAAGAGATTGTTGGGGAGAAAAGGGGGGTCAGTAATTAACGATGAAATTTCAAATGATGCTGGAGAACTATTGACTATAAATATATTGACCTAGTTTATGGGCAATTAACTACAAATTTACATACAGTTTCTTTTTTTTCCAGTAAAATTATTTGTTCATTTACCTAAATCAATGTTAGAATTTTTGTCCAAGTTCATTTAACAACTAGTTTTCATTAAATTCAATTATTAACCATGATTTGTTTCTTTGGTTCTTTTTTCCTCCCTTTAGTGGTACTCAAAGCATCTCAATGACGACCATGAATACCAAAATCGCAGTCGGGGTGATGGAATCGATTAAGGAAATTTATTTACGTCATGAACTTGAAGATTTTGTCGTTAAAATCGAAGATACTGAAATCAAGTGTCATCGCTTCATTCTTTCATGTTCCAAATATTTCTGTGAACATTTCCGGTCAGGTATAAAGGAAGTGACGGATGGCCGTGACCCTTTACGTGGTATTTCTTGTGACACTTTCAAGCTAATCCTAGAGGCCCTGTACACTGGAATAAACGTCGTAACTAAAGATAATGCCATTGCCATCTGGTTTGCCTCAATTCAGTTACAGATTGACTTTATGATTGAGTTATGTGAAAAGATGGTGGTTAAGATGTTGTCATTGGACAATTTTGAAGAAATCTACAGAAACGCTAAGCTCATTAATTCAAAACAAATTATAGGAGCTATTCCAAATTTTGTGAAGATGCATTTTGTACAGGTAAGAAGAATGAAAACATTTTATGAACTTCCCTACAGACAATTTCTTAATATTGTAAGGGATCAAAAACTTGTGGCAGAATGTGAAGACCTTGTCTTGGAATCAATTATGGAATGGGTAGAATACCCTGACATTGAACAGTTAGAAGATGAACATCAAAATGTAAAAAGGAAATGCACTGAAGACATTCGAGAAACAAGTGAAGTTATTACTAAGAGCGGGGTTGAAAAAAACTCATTCGCCAACAGTATATTAAATACCATGTCTGATTTCGCCTTTGACCAATGTAACAATGATATGGATGCCAAAGGTTTAGGTAGTGACAATAAGCTTGATGACAACTGTGTTTGTCTTGAGCAACCAATTCAAGGCAAAGACCTCTCTACAGATGGCACTAAAAAGGAAGTATCCCCAGAAGAAACTGACAGTAAAACAGAAAGCACAGTTTCTCAAGTGTTGGATCAAACTGAGAAAAGTGACCCACTTCAACAGAATAACAATATGAAGCGCAAGGTTGATGGAGAGCGACACACTTATCTAGTGCCACTTTTAGACGCTGCGAGAACCTGTCTAGCCAGCGCATCGTTTCTGGGGCGTCTCGTCAAACATCGTTTGATTGAAGCGAATCCCCAAGCCAAAACAATTATTTTGAATGCAATCATTTATCATACTTATAGAAATGGAACTTGGTCCAAAGCTGCCTTACACAGAGACTGTAGTGAATTAGGTAACTTTGGAGTTGTCTGTTCTGGTGCAGGAAAATTCGATGCTTACTCAATGACGGAAGACACATTTTTAAGTATGAAAAATTGTCCAGGCTGTGTTCATTCCGTTCATTTGGTCGTTTTCGACGATGAATTGTATGCATGTGGACGTAAAGCTAAGAAAGACGTCACAAGCAAGTTGTTTCTTTTCAGAGGAAATGCATGGAAAAAAGTCACTGAAATTCCAGGAGGCCAGTTATTTCTTCTTTCTTATAACAATTCAATTTTAGTCTTAAATAGTGAAAGAAAAATAATTTCATCATTAAAACCTAAGGAAATGGATAAATTTCAAGAGAATTTTGAGACTCTTCCTGAAAATGGGAAATTTGAATATGCCCTGCTATATGACAGTAAATTGCTTGTGTTTCTTGCAGAGAACGTGGAGGGTATTGAAGAGACAGCTGTTCATTGTTTGGATTTATTGAATATGAATTGGACAAAATTTAAGAATCTTGAAGGGCCGGCCAAACATTTGATCAGTTTTCAAGATGGTGAGAACCACTACGTCATACAAAGAAATGGGAATGCGTGGAGATTGGAAAATACCAAAGTTAAACTCGTGTCATTTCATTTTATTGGAAAACTATGGACATCTGATGTAGTTTTACATGGGGCTGTGCATTACAAAGATCGACTCACTTTATTTGGAGATGATCCTACCAACTATCCTGAAAATACAGAATCTGATTTGCCTGACTTTCCATATTCCTCAAATTTTTGGGGTCAAAATGACACTTGTTCTAATTTTCTGCCTGTTATACTAGCCAAGAGTTGTCTCTCCCCCAAAATTGTATCAAGTGATGATAATGATGATAATGATGATGATGCTGATTAATGAGTACTTTTATTGCGCTTGTATCCATGCTATTTTAGCATGTTAACAGCACTCTGATGTCCTAAAATCGTTTTAAAGAAATACGTCTGTAAATGCTTCTTAATTTTTGTTTTTATCATTTTCAATTTCCCGTAAAGATTGAGGCAAACTGTTCCACAATTTAGGCGCTATACCTTCAAATGAGCGCCCCCCGTATGACTTCTCTAGTTGTCCATCCACACTGTTAACCTCCGTTAAGGACTGTGTTGAAGAGCGCTTGTTCTGTAAGCATTAGGTTTTAGAAATTAATTTTTTGAAAATATTCAGGTGCAGAGCCTTCTATACAGCTATACGCTAGGGACAGAGATTTTTGGCGAATGCGCCCACTCACTGGAAGCCAATGGAGATCTCTAAGATCTGGAGTGATGTGGTCCGATTTCTTTATCCGCGATGCAATGTTTGATGCAGTATTTAGTACCTTCTGGGGGGTCTCTGAATTTGCTTTTGAGGTAAACCTCACAGTCACCTGTTACAGTAATCTAATCTTGATTGGATTAGAGTGACTGCTGCGGCATTAGCTGATCTCGTATTAAGTTGACTCATTAGTGACAATTTTTTGGTTCTGGTTACATAAATTAACAGGTAGTGTATTGGTTTTTGTTTTTTTTCCTATCATAAATTCTGATTCTGGTAGTGTTCGTTGCTGCGTCCATATACTGGCATATGTGCAACGGTGTTTTTATCCCAACAGCTCCTAGCAGATGCCAGGACAGCCTTGAAACTGTCGACCAATGTCGAGTCAACGGCGGCGTGGTTCAGGTGGTTCCAAACGATTATTGTGCATGGGAAGAATGATTGTTTATAATCGACCGTCTACACTGAGGCACAGTGAAGCATTTGCTATTTTCCCGGATTGTTTATCGGGTTGTTAGAGGTGAAATCAGTGTTCAGTGAGGGATGGGCTCTGATTAATCGCCCTGGCTTCTGTGGGGTGAGGTACGTGTTAGCTGGCATGGCCAGCACTAGCCACGCGACCACCTTATAAACGAATATTGGGCAGCGATTTTCTCGTCTGTCTTTGAGAAAGGGATCTCATATCTTTTTAAGAGGTCAGTGACGCATCCAGGAGTGATGGTTTTGTAGCCACGTGCAATGAAGCGCACCGCATTACGTTGGATTCGCCCCATCTTGTCCACGTCTTGCTTTAGGAATTGGTCTCAGATGACCGCACCATATTCTAGTAGCGGACGGACGTGTGCGAGATAAGCATTTCGTTTGCAGGATGTTGGGCAGTGGCGCAGATTTCTTCGAACGAAACCTAGTGTATCTTACATTATTTACATTTTTAATATAAAATGTAATGTTTTTCTAAAAAAAAAAAATAACAATGGAATGTTACGACGGCAGAAGCAAACTAAATACTGGATTGTGTCTTTGTTGATTTAGTGTATAACTTTGCACATACTTTTCTTTCAGTGTTTAATTTTAAAAAAATAAATATCATTCTGTCTTGAACAAATAAATATATCTATTGTAACAACGTTCTGCCAATGTCATATAATTTTATTTTCTAAGGGGGCGTCCATTAATTACGTCAAGAAAATAGGGGGAGGGGGTTCGGAAATGTTTGACAGCAGTTGACAAGGGGGAGGAAGGGGGGTTTAGATTAGTTGACGTCAACAATCAGGTTTTTTTTTTATATTAAAATATTAATCTTAAAATTGACTGATTATTACATCGTTTTAAACAATTTAATGAATGTAAATAGTCATATATGTATAGGCTTTTAACAATATACGAGTTATTTAATGTGTGTCTGTCTGTGCACTGCAGATGGCTGGTCAGAATGTCGGCACACTTTGTTCGTGCAAGAGAAGTCAAAGTTGGCATCTCTTCACCTGTCATTTTTCTCTTAATCCGCTTCCTTGAATGATTAACACATCATTGTACACGGTGTTCAATTAAAAAAAACCCACAAACTAACAACTATAGCAATTAAAAGACAGAGAGAGAGCTTAGGGCAATTATTGCTCACGCCAACAATATTTCTATTTTAAGTGCTGATTGGTTAGACAAGGATGATGTTCACTTGTCTGGCATATCAGTTCTGCAAGATAAAAATGATAAATCAGCTACCATGGATTTTTTTTTTACTTTAAAAGATGTTATATTATATTTATATTTTTAAAATTTTATTTTTGCCTATCCTTATAGCTGTTTATATGCATACACACAGACGTTATTATGTCACTCATTCCATGTACCTATGATTCATGCAAAGTCGGCACTTGTTATTTTTCTTATGTACATATCGGGGGCGATAGGACGCCCCCCCTGCAATGACTAATATAAATTTTTAAAGGTGGTTCATTTGGTATTATTATCTGGCATTATTTCTTACAAATGTATTCAAGTCGCAGGATTTCAGCCAACCGTTTACATCCCACTCTTGATGTATTAACCTGTTTCTTTTCGCTTTGAATTACAATAAAGTTAGGTCAATTTCAATTTACTCTTGGCTTTTTATTGTCTCAGGTTCTGTGGAACATAGTTTCATTGTTGTTGTCATTGAGCTGATAGATCACGTGCTTTGGATAGGGAAGCGATGTTAAAAAAGCATGGATTATATTGGGTTCTAATGTTGAAAGTGTATGGATTATATTGGGTTCTAATGTTGAAAGTGTATGGATTATATTGGGTTCTAATGTTAAAAGTGTATGGATTATATTGGGTTCTAATGTTAAAAGTGTGTGGATTATATTAAGTTCTAATGTTAAAAGTGTATGGATTATATTGGGTTCTAATGTTAAAAGTGTATGGATTATATTGGGTTCTAATGTTAAAAGTGTATGGATTATATTGGGTTCTAATGTTGAAAGTGTATGGATTATATTGGGTTCTAATGTTAAAAGTGTATGGATTATATTGGGTTCTACTGTTAAAAGTGTATGGATTATATTGGGTTCTAATGTTAAAAGTGTATGGATTATATTGGGTTCTAATGTTGACAGTGTATGGATTATATTGGGTTCTAATGTTAAAAGTGTATGGATTATATTGGGTTCTAATGTTAAAAGTGTATGGATTATATTGGGTTCTAATGTTAAAAGTGTATGGATTATATTGGGTTCTAATGTTAAAAGTGTATGGATTATATTGGGTTCTAATGTTAAAAGTGTATGGATTATATTGGGTTCTAATGTTGACAAGGTATGGATTATATTGGGTTCTAATGTTGACAGTGTATGGATTATATTGTGTTCTAATGTTGACAAGGTATGGATTATATTGGGTTCTAATGTTGACAAGGTATGGATTATATTGGGTTCTAATGTTGACAAGGTAATGATTATATTGGGTTCTAATGTTGACAAAGTATGGATTATATTGGGTTGTAATGTCGACAAAGTATGGATTATATTGGGTTCTAATGTTGACAAGGTATGGATTATATTGGGTTCTAATGTTGAAAGTGTATGGATTATATTGGGTTCTAATGTTGAAAGTGTGTGGATTATATTGGGTTCTAATGTTGACAAGGTATGGATTATATTGGGTTCTAATGTTGACAAGGAATGGATTATATTGGGTTCTAATGTTGACAGTGTATGGATTATATTGGGTTCTAATGTTGACAGTGTATGGATTATAGTGTGTTCTAATGTTGACAGTGTATGGATTATATTGGGTTCTAATGTTAAAAGTGTATGGATTATATTGGGTTCTAATGTTGAAAGTGTGTGGATTATATTGGGTTCTAATGTTGAAAGTGTGTGGATTATATTGCGTTCTAATGTTAAAAGTGTATGGATTATATTGGGTTCTAATGTTAAAAGTGTATGGATTATATTGGGTTCTAATGTTAAAAGTGTATGGATTATATTGGGTTCTAATGTTAACAGTGTATGGATTATATTGGGTTCTAATGTTGACAGTGTATGGATTATATTGGGTTCTAATGTTGACAGTGTATGGATTATATTTTGTTCTAATGTTAAAAGTGTATGGATTATATTGGGTTCTAATGTTAAAAGTGTATGGATTATATTGGGTTCTAATGTTAAAAGTGTATGGATTATATTGGGTTCTAATGTTGAAAGTGTGTGGATTATATTGGGTTCTAATGTTGACAGTGTATGGATTATATTGGGTTCTAATGTTGACAAAGTATGGATTATATTGGGTTCTAATGTCGACAAGGTATGGATTATATTGGGTTCTAATGTTGACAGGGAATGGATTATATTGGGTTCTAATGTTGACAAGGTATGGATTATATTGGGTTCTAATGTTGAAATTGTGTGGATTATATTGGGTTCTAATGTTGAAAGTGTGTGGATTATATTGGGTTCTAATAATAAAAGGGTATGGATTATATTGGGTTCTAATGTTGAAAGTGTATGGATTATATTGGGTTCTAATGTTGAAAGTGTGTGGATTATATTGGGTTCTAATGTTGAAAGTGTGTGGATTATATTGCGTTCTAATGTTAAAAGTGTATGGATTATATTGGGTTCTAATGTTGAAAGTGTATGGATTATATTAGGTTCTAATGTTAAAAGTGTATTGATTATATTGGGTTCTAATGTTAAAAGTGTATGGATTATATTGGGTTCTAATGTTAAAAGTGAATGGATTATATTGGGTTCTAATGTTGAAAGTGTGTGGATTATATTGGGTTCTAATGTTAAAAGTGTATGGATTATATTGGGTTCTAATGTTGACAAGGTATTGATTATATGGGTTCTTATGTTGACAGTGTATGGATTATATTGTTTTCTAATGTTGACAAGGTATGGATTATATTGGGTTCTAATGTTGACAAGGTATGGATTATATTGGGTTCTAATGTTGAAAGTGTATGGATTATATTGGGTTCTAATGTTGACAAAGTATGGATTATATTGGGTTCTAATGTTGAAATTGTGTGGATTATATTGGGTTCTAATGTTGAAAGTGTGTGGATT